CCGTTTGTTTGGTATCCCTAAACTCGTTCTGGCACGTTGAGTATTGACAAGATGGCAAGTAGCGTTCGACAATTAACACTCATTGCAATTGCGAAAAAGACTTTCCTTGCACTTTGACTCTTAAAGAAAGACAACTGACGTGAATCTTGTATAGTGACAGCGACACTGCGTGTTTTTCATCCAGTTGAACTGTACTGAATTGTAACCACCAACAAATATTTTAAAGGGTTGCCTGAATTTTCGATCAGCCTTTTCATACACAGGCTATTCGATATACAATTAACGTTGCTCTCGAACTGTAAGGACTTCTGCTTAGCTTTGTGCAGATTCTGGTTTAGAAATTCGGAACGAAGACCGGACAGTCTGAAAGATGTCTCGTGGCCACTACCACTTCTTTCGCATACTTATTAGCCTTAAGAATTTTATTTGTTGGTGGTTCTATGAAAATAAACCGGTTATGATAATATAATTATTCTTATGTAATACTCTACGCTTACGATAATACACAAACGGGTAACTACATCACGTATTCAACCACAGATGTGCTACAGTTTCCATAGCGACATTGACACAATTAGGCACGCTCTAACTGCAGTGACTGTTATTGTGACTAGTTCCGGAATTCATACATTAAAAGCATTCAGTGTTCGGGAACAGGGAATTGTGGATAGGCCTCATCCCGCATAGTTCGTAATGTTGATTCATTTGTAACTGCCTGTCAACAGTGTAAGTTAGCCTACAATCGCTTAAGGCAGACAGACAAATAAATAAAAGGAACTCTAGATTATATTAAAAAAAATTCTGCATACAAGTAGGCCCTACAAATATTCACTATTTCAATTTACAACTGGGTGTGCAAATGTCGATTGGGACCGCTCTCAGATTCGATTTAAAACTTGCCTTCATTCCATACAAACACGATAATCACAGCTTAATTGGTTATATTCTGTCCAAATTATTAACAACAGCCTATTATGGCTATTGCTCACTGAAGTAATTTTATAAGGTACATTCAGTTGGTGAGAATATTTGATAGCTATTTAACAATTTAGGAACTAAGTTTTTTCGCGAAGTCACTGGCCTGTGGTCACTTGGAAATAACCTCAATCGGGCCCTGCACCCCTAATACCTACTGTCAAAGGTCTGCGCGACAGTCTGCTACTTCCACAGGTCAGGGACCCGTGGACCCGTCTGCAAGGAGCAGACACTTCAACCTGTCATGAATCTTTAAATAGCCCTTAAACTTCCAGCTTCAGCGACTAAAATAGTGGGAATGTGCGTCAGTCTGGCATGTGTATGAAGGTATTCAGTTTAACGTGTGAAACGCGGTAAAAAGTTCGAACATGTCCCAACGGCTGGGATCCTGCAGACCGCAGTAAGCAATTCTGACTTTCATAAGCAGATAGCGGCGTTATATACAGTAAAACCTCTCTAAATTGGACACTTGCGGTTCCACGAAAATGTGTCCAACTTACAGGATGTCCAAGATAGATACAAAGGGAAGAATCCTTTCAGGTTGTGGTGTGATGACAATGTAATCTATTTATTTGCATACACTAACTACTGTAGGCTTACTTGAATTAAGAATTAATGGCATAAATAATAATAAATAATAATCTTTTGAAACCCACTCCCATGCATTGCACATTAGGGTTTAACAAAGGAATAACTATACACTTTCAATGCATTCGGATGATGTGTTCAAAGTCTCACACCCTCAACCATAAGCTAATCCTCAGGTAGAAGGCATTCATTAGTCAGAAATTGAAAACAACAAAATACTAACTGTAAATCGTTCCCTGAAAAGCACTGAAGCTAAGTGCATGAACCTGTCCAACTTACAACAAAAGGGGTGACCAAGTTCCAGGATAAAGGGGTGTCCAAGATATAGGGTATTGTGGATATGTAATATTATAGGATATTCGCCGGTTCCATTAGAAAAGAGTCCAATATAGAGGGGTGTCCAACTTGAGGGGTTTTACTGTATAAAGTTGTCCTTCTGTCCTTCACAGATTATGCTCAACTTCACTTCCGTCTTTTGAATGGACCTTCAAAGCTTTGGGCGTATGTTATTACACATTGCTTTCGAACAGCTTAATAATGGTTTCTACTTCTAATTATAAATCATAACTATATAAAATGTTCTAATATAAAAGTTTAGAAAAGCTAATCTCTGTGACTGAGCGCGGCAGGGGTCCAATCCGCGACGCATGGACGAGCGTTCACTTTTTGTGCGTGTTTTCATAGACAGAAGCATTGCGATAGACCGATCCCCGTCAAAGGATGCTTATTAAACATTTAAGAGATTTGCTACTGTTTCAAAATTCATTCTGAATCGGAAGTGATCACATACGTGGTTCCTAAAGAAGACATCCACAATTCAAAGCATAACAGTAGCTACATATACCAACTGCTATTGACAGCAAAGAAACTGAATTTATTCCAATGAGTGTAGGATTTCATACGATTCTCAGAATAAACGAAAATGACTTCCCTGAACAATATTAACCCGATGCTCTTTATAATAGAAACACGGTGTTTTCTTTGAGGTAGGAATTATAGTGTTAATTATTGGGTCTGGTCAGATAAGCTTCATGATTCA